TAGAACGACTGACTGAAGGTCTTCTAAAACTATATTGAGCGGCTGTGTTGACAGCTAGCACGGAGACGGTGTGAGTAAGCCGACTCACGCCGTCGTGCTCGCTGTCAACGGCAAATTCAATTGTCGCTGGCGGCAACATCCTGGGGGGGGGGGCCGAATCCTTGAGGCCAATTGTTTCTTCCGGCGTCAACAGCTTGCAGACGCGCTGAATGGCGCGCTTGATTGACCCGGTTGCGGTGTGGATGGTTAGATTTCGGACTAAACCATCTGCGCCAGGGTGAGTAGCGGTTATACGGCCCAGTCTCCACTGAGCTGGTGGCATGTTGTCTTCGCAAACCACTACGATATCGTTGACTTGAATGTTTTCTTTGGGGTTTAGCCATTTGTTTCGAACTTGAAGTGAATTGATGTAATCGGTTTGCCATCGCTTCCAAAATAGTTGCTGAATTTGTTGCAACTGGCGCCATTTGGTTGCCAATGTACCGCTTTCGGTGATGGGCAAATCGGTAGGGACCGATTCAAATGAACTACCAGCCAAAAAATGAGCTGGTGTGAGCGCAAGTTCGTCATCGGCATCTTCGTTCAAAACTCCCAATGGTCGTGAGTTCAAACATCCTTCAATCTTTGTGATGATCGATTGAAACTCGAATACGGACAATTTTTGCACCCCAATAGGTGCATACATGCTTGAGGTGATGTTTGAACAGTTTGACTGCTACTTCGTGGCTGCCGCCCTGTGATGGAGATCGGGGCATAATGAAATGCCAGTCGATGCCGCGACTGGCCAATATGCTGGCTTGAGCGCTTTGATTCCATACATCCAATACTCGATCGAGTTTGTTCTTTGCTCCGACATAATTTTTCGCATTATCAGATCGGATTGAGCGACAGTGCCCGCGTCTGGCTGCAAAGCGCTCGTATGCATCGATAAAGGCGTCGGTGGTGAGGTCGAGCACTAATTCCAAATGTATTGCGCGGGTGGCCATGCATATGAAAACTGAAACATATGCTTTTACCATCGTTTTGCACCGCCCACTCCATCGTTTCAGTTCGAATGGCCCAGCATAGTCGATGCTGATGTCGGTGAAAGGCCTCTCAACAATGTTGACGCGAGACTGTACGAGCGGTGCCATTTGTTGACCCTCATTTTTCTTGCGATGCGTTTTACATACGATGCAATCAAAAATGGTGCTTCGAATTGCATTTCGACCACCGATGAACCAATACTTCTGCCGCAAACAGCGTGTTACCAATTGTGCACCTCCATGCATGAGAGTGATGTGAGCTCTGCGAATCAGCATTTGAACGAAGGTGGAATTTCCGGGCAAAATTACTGGATGCTTTTCATCATATGATGCATTTGCACTCTGTAAACGACCGCCGACTCTGATAATGCCATCAAAGTCCAAAAATGGGCATAATTTGGCGAGTTTACTCTTTTTGTTCAGCTCGGTACGATTGGCGAGGTATTGCAATTCTTCAGCGTATGCCGACGCCTGAGTTTGCAAAATCCAAAAATTTTCTGCTCCAGCGATTTCTCCACGTGTGACCGGATTGAGTAGAAGAGCTTCGAGGATTTGCGATAGCGGCTGTACGATACCAACTGATTTGGCAAAACCATTTTTCTTGCGTTCGGCTACAGCAGCTTTACAATTTCGAACGAAACGCAAAATATATGCAGTAACCAGAATCAATTGGCTAACATTTTCGTATTTGTTCAATATCCACGACTCTTCTACCGTGACCGCAGCAACGGTGGCTCCCTTTTGTTCATGCTGCATTGCTGGCTGAAGTGCAGCGGGCAAACTTGCCGGTTGTGCAGGCCAATCGAATATGCTCCATGGCAACCATTTAGGTCCGTTCCACCAGAGGTCAAAGTTGATGATGTTTGCTGCATCGCAGCCACGAGACGCAATATCTGCCGGATTGCATTCGCCTGGAACAAAATGCCAAACGGCTCCGATCGATAGAGTAATCGCTTGAACCTCCGACACTCGGTTGGCAACGAATTCTTTGAACAAACACGGGGCCTTGTGAATCCAATGCAAAACGATTTGAGAGTCACACCAAAAATGGGTGGTGATATGCCGATCACCGAGCGCTTTGTGCACTGATTTCATCAATTGTGCTACTAATAGCGCGCCACATAGCTCGAGGCGCGGTATCGAAACCGATTGTACGGGTGCAACACGAGATTTTGACGTGAGTAGGCCGCATCGAATGCCACGAGATGGATCTTTGACTTTGTAGTAAATTGACGCTGCATATGCCAATCCAGAAGCGTCGCAGAATCCGTGTAATTCGAGCTCGGTGTTGCTTACTGAACCCATCCATCGAGGAACACTTACCAGTTCTACTTTCTTCAGAGTCTCGCGGAAGATAAGCCAACGGTTTCTTTTTTCGTCGGGCAATTTGTCATCCCAGTCAAGATTTGCGATCCACAATTCTCGGATGAAAATTTTTCCCCGAGTGATGACAGGAGTCAATAGACCGAGCGGATCATACAATCTGGCAACGTCACTGGTGACTGTTCTTTTGGTAACCCGTTCTGCCCAAGCATTTTCGTCGACGAAAAACTGCAATTTGTCGAGCATTGCGTCCCAACCAACACCAAGTACGGAGTTTTCTTCGGTTTCAGAATCTTCGAAGAGCGTTTTTGAACACCAATCGCTATCAGGAATGGAACTCATGACGCTGAAACTGTTCGAACTCCATTTCTTAATTGGAAAACCCGACTTTTGAAGCATTTCTTGTAGTTGTGCCCGCAGGTCGATGACTTCTTCGGCAGAATCGCCGCCAGTCATGCAATCGTCAACATAAAAATCTCGGCGAGCAACAGCCGATGCATTTGGATAATCGTGTGCAGCTTCGATAGCACCCTGTTGCAAAGCACGAACAGCAGAGTGTAAGGCGTACCGCATGCCGAACATAACGCGGGTCAGGCAATAAGTGACGATGGGTTGATTCGTATCTTCTCGCCACAAAACCAATTGCATCTGATGAAACTCTTCCTTTACCAATACTTGAGGGTACATTTGCTCGATGTCTCCAACCAAAGCAATGCGATGCGTTCGGAAGCGAAGCAGAATGTCGACCAAATTATCCTGAAATTTTTCACCCTTCATTTGAATGTCATTGAATGACTCATCGGATGAAGTAGGCGCTGATCCGTTGAAAACCGTACGGTGTTTTTTCTTCTTGCTTTCAATGCCATGATGCAGCAGAAAATAATGCGGTGCATTTTCATTCACATCGGTAAATGGGTCCATGATTCCTTTGTCGATCAATTTACGCATAAATTCGACGTATTTGCGGTGGAATTCAGGCTTGCGAGCAAATTTAGCTTCCATTGAACGCAATGTACGCAAAGCACGCTTTTTTGATTCGCCCAGTGGCACAGCATTTGGCTGAATTGGAATTGGAACGCAAAAACGGCCGCTTTCTGTGCGCTCGTATCCCTCCACAAAAATCTTCTCACACATTTCTTCTTCAGGCGAACGATGATGACGTTTGGGTAATTCATCCATTTTCCAAAAACGCTGCAACATTTGGTTGAGCTTATCATTTCTTGGTGCGTGCAATTCGACCATACCGACGAAATTGCCGT